GGTCAGTAAAAAAGACAAAAAGGAAAAAAAAAAAAAAAAAAAAGGAGGCTGATCTCTTCTACCACCTAAAGCCCCACAGAACATGCATTCTATACTATCCACCGGAAATTTATTAACTTCCTTGGGGTTTTGTTTCTTTGTTTTGACACTTGAGAAGCCTTATTATGCCCCTACCAGACTTAAAACACAAGTTATTACACAGATACACATAGTGAAAAACAATATCTCCTTATGATTAGAGCATGAGCCAAATAAATGGATTAAATCCTGACTTTTCCTTAACATTTCTTTATCTCAGTTTTGTCAGCTAGAAAATGGAGATTATAACAGTACCTACTTCACAAGGCTATGATGAGGATAAAAATGATTTGATACACATAAAGCACTTAGAACAGTATCTAGCAAACAGTAAGTTCTATTAAGTATTAGCTATTATTAACATTACTATTACTATCACTGTCATTCCTCACAGCACCTAGTACCACTTTATATACACACAAGAGCTCAATAAATACTTTGAATGAAACAACTAGTATTCAAATAATTTTTAAAGGTCCCTCATGGAGTAAATGAAGGCTCAAGGCCCAAAAGATCAAATTCATTATAAGGGCACAGTAGAAGAAAAGAATGCAACCCCCAAAACTACTTAAACTTCATGAACAAATTAAGGAGAAAGTTAAAGTGTAAAACTAACAGTCCAAACAAAACAAGTCTGATTTTTTTCTTCCCTGATAAAAAAGGAGGCATTCTATGAGAGAGCATGATTGTTTAGAAAGCCCCCCAAAGATGGCTATCTAAAATGTCATCTTAATTTCTAATTTATCAACAATACGTTAACTAATTCTGTTTTGAATCTATTTATATGTCTAGGCTCTATATTATTCACTTAAGTAATAAGCTTCATTATTTACCACATCACCTTCAAAAATAGTATTAAGTTTAATTTACTCAATGAAGGTAATCTCTAGCTCTTAACACTCAGGTAAACAGATCCATGTTTACTTTTTTTTAAATCAATATCCTTCACAATTTTGGGGGGCAGGGGGGTGGGAGAGGTCTGGCCAGTATGAGGATCCCAACTCTTGACTTTGGTGTTATAACACCATGCTCTAACCAAAAAAAAATTATTTTAATCTGGTGACCAGGAAGCAGTCCTTCACAAATTTATACATTGATTATTTGCCTCTTCACTCTTTTCAGACTGAAGATCCATTTCTTATCATTGTAAGTTTTGTCCTCACAGGGAAGCTGATTCAGTTTTTTTGATTTATGTTAGCCGCCTATCTCCATATCACTAGTTCCTCTGTGTTCACCCTGGCTACAATGGGCCATAAATTTTGCAAAACAATCTCTTACTCATAGACACCGTGATATTACTGTATGTTTTAGGTAACACAGTACAGTCAAACAAGCCTAATAACTGACTGATCTGTATGACAAATGCACAATGTTAGTTTCAAATAACATTCATTTACAATAATAATGTCTTATTAAGGGATCAAGGGATAAGGAACCTATTTGGGCTGCCAAGAGTGGAACTGATTTAGACCTCAAGCAAGATTCCTAAAACATTATTTATGAAAAGTCTGATAGGAATAAAAAGCTTATATTTTAGTAATATCATAACCATGCCTACTCTCACATACATTTTGGCTTATTATTAATTGCATATTTTACACAGAGACAGAGTATGTAAGTTAGTTCTGTCAAAGACTGTTAAGCTTCACACAGTGAATTTAAATTTCTCAAGCCAGGACTTCTGGTTTATCAACATTAATAAACTGATGTTGCAATAACTCAGAGAAAACACAGCCTATCTTGTTTTATAGTTCAATTACTGATTAGCAAATAATGTGACACTTGAACCGTCAGTATCCATTCACTTTGCTTCCTGTTTAAAGAAATCCTTACCAGAAAACTGATGATGGGAACACAGGAAAAAGGAGAACTTATAATCACCACATTAAGAATTAAAAAAAAAAAAAGCACATTTTCTGGGTGGTGGGATTATGAGAAATTACTTTCTTCTTTATGCTTTTAGATATTTCCCCAAATGTTCTAACATATATATATATATTATATAACTTTATTAAGAAGGCAATTCTAAGAGAAAGTGCAACATATGTAATATGATCTTTATTTAGTTTTTCTCCAAATGTAAAGCAAGTTTTTACTAACTACCGAATACTACAGAATAATGTTACAACTGTCAGAGCCTAAAATAGACTCTAGCAGACCCAATGCAACAGTATTTGTTACAATAATTTTTAGATTCTAATGGAACTTAATTTTTTTTTAAAGTGTTAGCAGAATACAAAGTATATTTTAAATAAAACAGGCTAAATACACCCAAGAAAACCATGACTTCCTTATTTACTACACAAATAAAAAGTTTGGGTTAAACCATAAAGTAAGTTTATAATACCATGCAGTAAATCAAACTAATATGGCTCATAAATGAAGTAACCTAGTTAAGAAATTTTCCTTGAAATTCAATTTTTTCTAGAACATATGTCAACCAGTCTATTTTTAGAATAATCAATTTAAGAACAATGAAAAAAAAAGGCAGTTTAATTAACACGCAATTCTTTTTAAGGAGACAGAGGCAGTGCCTGCCAAAAGATTTACATGAATGCTGGGTACATTTTTCACAAACTATTGACCATTATTTTTCCTAATGTAAAAAGCACCCTAAATGTGTTTTATCATATCGAATTTTACATGATACCTGTGGAAGACACTGTAGTATGTTAATCAACTGAAATACATATTAAATGAAAAGTTATTAATATAAAAATTTGTTCATGGCTAGAAAGATTCCAAAAAAAAAAAATTTGTTCATCTTTACAGCCATTTTTAAATGTTCTAAAAGGTAGGTAGAGCTTTTACTATATATTTACTTTGTGGTGTAAAATCTACATGGTAGTTGGCAGCAGCTGAAATATAATGGCACACAGACAACACTTGATTTTTCTGTGTAAATTAAAGGAAACAAGTTTTCTGAAGGAACAAAACCATCACTTTTTAGGTGCCAACCAACACGACTTTAGTGAGCTGTAAAAGCGGATTAATTCATTTTCGTAGCTAAACAGAAAGAGGATTTTCACATGGAAGATGGAGTCGGAGCCCGATGTGATCTGAAGCAGTACTAATCTGCACAGAGAAAACAATCAGGGACGACTACTGAACCATTCGGAAGGTTGCATTTTCCCCTTACTAACAACCAAGGTTAACTAAACAACATAATGCAGTATTTAAAGGACAAACCTGTTTAAACTAGAGAACCGCCCAGCCGCATGCAAAACATACCAAAGAGGATTCATAGCAAGGGGATGGTATTACCTCTTTTATGTAATTCCCTCAGGGGAATATTGTCTCCTCCCCCGTCATAAGGCAAATAAGGATCGGAAGAAGCATCCATGATTAGAATTTTTAAAAAGAAGAAAAAGAAAAAGAAAAGCTTGCTAGTTTAAAAAGACAGTGGCATTTCTTCCACTCCTGCTGCAGCAGGCAAGGGAGATGCCATATTTGATGAGGGGTAGAACTGTAGTTCGACTCGCTGAAGCGACTGGGTTCTTCCACAGTGGATGATGTCATCAAAGGGAAATTATTGCAGCCTGGTTGCTAGTGGCTACAATCTAGCAAGGCTTAGAGGCAGAACAGCCTTCTTAATCAGGTCCTGCTACGTATGATGATGACTAAGCTCCAAGTATAACAGACAAAACTGGTTTGAGAATTTTAAAGCACTCACAATAAAGCTTCTATATAGTACCAGTGGCAAATACAATAAGACAAAAGAAACATTATTTCTTTTCAATTTTAAAATAAATAAAAGGGGTACAAAGTGTTTAATACAGATATGTAAAAAGGAAATCCTGGATGTAGACATTGCTTTTTTTCATTTCTAATGTAGAAAAGTGGGAGTAACACTCTAACACAGTTGTGAGCTTTTATAATTATAAATGTGCTAATTTTATACTGTAATGTCATGTGAGTCATAATAAAAAAAACCTAAAATATATCAAAGGTTTCTCAAAAGGTTTTAAGTCTATTAGTATGTAAAATGTACAGCAGCCTTCTACTGAGGATTAAAAGGCTGAATAACTGAAGAGTTGAATAGTGTTTTATCTCACTAATCCCTTCCAGCAGCCTCGTTTCCTTCCTTCAAGGAACTAGCTAGTAAGACATTCTAGCTTTTGAGGAGAAAGAAAACTTATCAACATACTAAGTAACTTAACTATTGTGTGTGGAAACTATGCAAAAAGAAATGGACTGAGCAGGAGATTTTACTATCTCATCTACCTTCCTATTTTTCCTATCTCACAAAGATTTGATCCTTTAAAAAAAGGCTTTTAGTAGAATGTGTCTCAAAGTTAGGTACTCCAATTGTTGCTTTGCTAGAAGTTCTTATGAAATTCAGAAATAAAGCAATTCTTTTTGTTTAAAACTGTCATTCCAAACAACAAAACAAAACAAAAAAACTGATGCTCATTTAAGATCAGAGTTCAAAATTTTACCACTACCTCTAGGGTGATTACTGTAGATTAGAAGATTCTCCTCCTGCAATGCCTATGTTACGTAGTGCCACTAAATAAAAAGATGCCATTCACTAGAAGCAACTCCACAGAACTCAGGAATTCTGTGAAATTTGTCTTCCTCACTATTGAATGACACAAACTCTAAGGTCCATACCAACTCAAAGTACTTATATTTAAACTGGAGGTGAGGAAAGGAAAGAGAGAGAGAATTCACAGGGCAATGAAGGGAGAAGAGAAATTCTATTAATTTGTCTAATACATTTTATTTATTTGGGGTCTTTTTTCTTATTGCATAAGTTAAATCAAGTTTCTATATTTCAAAAAGTTTGAACCTCTGATAAACAGAGGTTCTTACAAAATCCTACCCAGCATTTAAGAGACAGGGTTCCAGGAAAGGAATATAAAGTAGAATTACTGCCATAGAATACTCTATCTAATCCTGATTGTAGCTATTAACATTTATCATAGAACAGTGGGTAATTTTTTTCTGTTTTCTGTATTTTTCAAATTTTCTTGGAAAGAATTTTTTTAAACAAGGAAAGCTTTGACAAAAAACTAACTTTACTGGGCCGGCCCATGGCTCACTCGGGAGAGTACGGTGCTGATAACACCAAGGCCACAGGTTCAGATCCTATATAGGGATGGCCGATTAGCTCGCTGGTTGAGCGTGGTGCTCAAGGGTGGTGCCAAGGGTTAAGATTCCCTTACCGGTCATCTTTGAAAAAAAAAAAAAAAAGAACTAACTTTACTGAATTAGCTCAATATAAATTTGGTCATTTGTAGTTCTTTGGTATGTTCTACTACCATAAGATTTTTCTAAAAATATATTATATGGCATTTATAACTAACTTAGTTGTTATAATACTATTTATGTGAACTAACTTTACTGAATTAGCTCAATATAAATTTGGTCATTTGTAGTTCTTTGGTATGTTCTACTACCATAAGATTTTCTAAAAATATATTATATGGCATTTATAACTAACTTAGTTGTTATAATACTATTTATGTTCTAGCATGCCTTTTTACATAAAATGAAAATCTATCCACAAGTTTTCCTGGTATCTGTAGGCACTCTCTCAACTTGTTTTTCCTGACCTACAACTTGGTCATAAAGACTGAAAATGAAACGGAAAAAAGAATATCCTCCCTATAAAATATATCGTCAATGCTGCACAAGTAAAGATTTTGTAGCCATAACTAATTATTTTTAAAGACCAAAAACTGTGTATAACATATAATATATAAAATTGTATTTGTATAGAGTTAAGTTTAGAATGAGACCATCAAACTTAATAATTGTTATCACTGAGAAATGAGGTTGATGTGGAGACAGGTGCATTCTGTGTGTATCTTATATAATATAGTTACGCATCATTTTAATTATTTTAAACAAATATATTGCTTTTGTAATAATAAATGTGAAAAATTTTTAAATTTCAGAAGTAAACAAATCTCTCACACTTATGAGGCCCATAGCTGCCATTTCCTCTTAAAGAATCATACTCAGGCCAAATGCTTTCCAATTATACCTTAGAAAAGGACACAGTAGATTGGAAGGTGTGGCAAAAAAGGACTTTGACACAAATTAGGTATTACCAGGCTAATAAACTGAATTACAATATAGGGTGGGGCTGAAGTATAAAGAGAGCAAAAAAAAAAAAAAAAAAAAAAAATTTCAAGAATTCCTATGCATGGCTCTGGCAAAGTGCTCAGGATGGAACCTTTGAAGAACCAAAAACACTAAAGTTGTAGCATGCATAAGGTCTTAAAAATTCAGAAGGGGAGGATATTTCTACTTTCAAATGCACTCTAGATTCGAAGCTCAACTTGATGTGGGATTCTGGATAAATCACAACTTCTCTGAGATGTGTTGCCACATCTATAAACCAGAGAGGCAGAATAGATAGCAACAGTATCATAACAGTTCAACTTTTAAGCCCGTTATAACAGTAATGATTCAAGAAATCTGCAATATTAGAAGTACTTAAATTTAAGGCCAACTGGTTAGCTCAATTGGTTAGAGCCTGGTGTTTTATAACACCAACATCAAAGGTACCGACCAGCTGCAAAAAAAAAAAAAAGAAAAAAGAAGTACTTAAATTTAAAAACAAAAACAAAAAAAAGTTTTTTTGCCTTTAGATCTAACTGCCAATTTACAGAAAATACAGGAACAGGGAAACATGTTAAATGATAGTTCAGGAATGCAATCATGAAAACACAAACTAGTAAACAAATTGTTGATTTCTTCAAAAAACCAATATAAGGGGCCGGCCCGGTGGCGCACTGCTACAGTGCACCGCTTGGGAAGTGTGGTGGCGCTCCTGCCAAGGGTTCAGATCCCACATACAGACCGGCCGCTCACTGGCTGAGCTGCCAAGGGTTCAGATCCCACATACAGACCGGCCGCTCACCGGCTGAGCGAGGTGCGGGCGCAACACCGAGGGCTGCGATCCCATTGCCGGTCCCGGTCCAGTACGGGCGCGACACTGAGGGTTGCGATCCGTTGCCGGTCACGAAAAAAGACCAAAAGTGAAAAAAAAAAAAAAAACCAATATAAGAAAAAAGGGGAAGAGGGGAACCTATAGAATTAAAAAAAAAAGTCTTAAAAGATATCAGTCAGGGATGTCTGGTCAAAAGTGAAAAAAAAAAAAAAACCAATATAAGAAAAAAGGGGGAGAGGGGAACCTATAGAATTAAAAAAAAAAGTCTTAAAAGATATCAGTCAGGGATGTCTGGTTAGCTCAGTTAATTGGAGCATAGTGCTGATAGCAAAAAAGTCCAGGGTTCAACCCCTGAACCAGCCAATCACCACCAAAAAAAAAAAAAGAACAAAAACAAAGAAACAAACAAAAAAAGGTATTATCAATCAATTCTGATGTACATTTTTAATGACACAATTATGAAAATGTGAAATACAAGATATATGATTTTAAGAAATTATTAATGTTTTAGATGTGATTATGACCTTTAAAAGAATCTTGATCTTTTAGATATACATAATGAAATATATATGCATATCTACCTACCTATATAAAATATGTTTTAGATTTACTTCAAAATAATCAGGGAGGGAGTAGAACTGAAGCAAAATTGGCCATGAGTTGATAATTATTTCAGCTAAGTGATGAGGATAAGAAGGTACATAATACTCTTCTCTATACTACTTCATGTTTTAAATTTTTTTATAACAAGAAGATTTTTTTTAAAATGCTTATAAATAAAATCACTTGTATGGGATAAACATTAATAAAAAAATTACATCCTTTACTCCTCAAACTAAATACATTACTACTAGAAGTGGCACTATAACTTGCATTGTCAGTCCTTCTCCCTAAGAAAAAGGCTCAGAAAAAAAAAAAAAAGACAGCAAAGCTTTCAAGGAGAACAATCAATTCAAGCTACATAGGAGCTGCAAAGTCATTGCAGCATTAAAGAAAGCGATGGGAATTCTAAAAAATGACAAGCCAGAAAATAAATTGAAAAAACAAAATGGTTTTGCAATATTCATATTTCATAAACATAAGAAATTTTAGTTCTCTGCACGGCTGCCTGGTTATCCAAATAACATCACAGGATTAAAAACACGAAGAATTTTCTTTCACAAACATCACACGATGACCACTTTTTCAAAATCAGAACCAAAAATAGGCAATATATTTTGATGCCTAAACAATCCCTCTTCAAGCAACAAAGGCAAAACACTGGAAAGACTAACAAATGATAAATCTACAGTGAGACAGATTAATGAGAAGGGAAGGGGAAGAAGGAGGAGAGGAAGAAGGGGAGGGAAGGGAGAAGAGGAAGAGAAAAAGACAGAAATAATCTTTATAAGGACAAAAAAATCAATCAATAGTACAAAATATGGAGTCTAGAAATAGACCTTCCTATATATGGACCCTTAAGATATATAAGAGGTGGCACTGTACGAGAATGGGTAAAAAAAATGATTTTCTCAGTAACTGATGCTGCGACAACTGGTTATATGCATCCTAACACATGCAACCCAACAAAACTTTGTGTCTAGGAAATAAAGAACTTCTACAAATCTTTAAGAAGACAGATATCCCAATAGAAAATTGGACAAATGACCTGAACAGATACTTCAAAAAAGATTTCCAAATAGCTAATAAGCATGAAAAGATGCTCAACCCCTGGCCACCAAGAAAATGCAAATTAAAACCACAA